TTATATCGGATCCGTGCATCAGGTCTTAAAGGGACAGCGGCCTATAAATACTGCTGCTGTCATTAATGATCATCAAACGACAAAACAGCTGTGATAAAAATCTATATTTAATTTATACAGTGAACACTCTTCAGTGTTATTTTCCCTAATTATTACATTTCTGTATTTGAATACTACCAACCTTATTTTATTTGTAACATATTCTGTTGCATGTATCTGCTTGTAATTTGTGTATTTGTTCTTATTTTTACTGGCTGTTCTCTTGTCTCTTTAATCATGTTTAAACTTCCTTAGTTAATCTAGTAGTATTTGCTGTGGTATCAAAATAGTACTTCGCTTTAAATATTTTTCTTTTCTTGCTGATCCGAAAAATGAACGGATCCATGGGTCAAAAACCATAATGTGATCTGAACCGTGAGATTTGTGATCCATTGGACCACTAGTATATGCATGTTGATTTTATCAGATGATGCCGCGATTATATACACATACAGAGCTAAACTTTCAGCATTACCATCAGACAGTATAATATCCTTCATGATTAAAGATCCTGTTCCTCCAAACACTATCTGCATCATGATGCTGTGTATCAGCATGTGTTCCTCAGCAACTTCAGTATAGATAAAAATCAGTGTGTACAGTATATACTGGGTGGGACACTCGCATGCTGAGCCAACACACACACAGGCAATCACACACACACACACACACACACACAGATATGGAGTATCCGAGCCGCAGTATGTGTATGGTTATGTAAGAACAGATGGTATTAATTAATCATACCTGCAGAGACAGCAGTGTCTAAATCACTACAGGAGCTGATACAGCACTCTCACTCACACACAGCAAGAGAACATGGAAGGCTCACACACAGCTTGAGCAGTGAGGGACAATTATGACAAAAGCTCTGAACACTTCTGCAAAACCACAGCACCCAGATTCTACCAACACCATCAGATACACCACTCCCTTGCATGCTTAATCCCCTCAATGGCTGAATCTTTACTTCCCTAATATATAGTAGATGAAAAACAGTATGTGAAAAGAGTAGTATGTCCGAATTCACATTAACTGTAGGGAAAAAAGTACCTACACTGTAAAAAATTATTGTGATTTTAACAGTAAAAGACTGTAAAAATGCTATAGTAAAAACCTGTTAACTGGTTAACAGTAAGTTTCCATACTATATTCGGTGAATAAATGTAATTACATTTAATGTAATTTTACAGTAAAATACGATTTTTGGAAGTGAAAAAGAAAAAGTCATTGTATAATTTACAGTGAAAAACCATAAATTGACACTCCCAGAATTCCCTGCATGACACTTCATATTTTGTTATTTTTGTTGAAATAACATTTCTTCTTAGTTTTTTCTTATCATTTGTGTACATTATGGTTTAAAGGGATCATATGATGCTGCTAAAAAGAACATTATTTTGTGTATTTGGTGTAATGAAATGTGTTTATGCGGTTTAAAGTTAAAAAACCACATTATTTTCCACATACTGTACATTATTGTTTCTCCTCTATGCCCCGCCTTTTTGAAACGCGTAGATTTTTACAAAGCTCATCGGTCTGAAAAGTGAGGTGTGCTGTGATTGGCCAGCTATCCAGTGTGTTGTCATTGGCTGAATACCTCAAGCATGTGACGGAAATGTTACGCCCCTCACCATACTGTTGATGCCGTGTCCGGCCGGAGCGACGAGACAAAAACATTAAAACCCATTACAAACGAGGCATTTGTTGCATCCAGTGGGGTCATAATTACTGATTATAATGACTTATACTGTCTTTTTACGCGTTGAATTGTGCCGCGTAAACATAAAACCCTGTCTGCATTTGTGATCGAAGAAATGACAAACAACAAGTGCTACTCTACACTGCCCTAAACTCGCGTTTGAATCATCAGTGGCAAATCCTTTAAATGCAAACGTACTTACTGTGAGTCAGAACTGCCGGCATTGTAGTCTACTCTCCCAGGATCAGTAAACAGTCCTCCATCAAATGTGCTGCACACATCTGGATATTTGGGTTAAAATGTTCTGGAACAGTGTTGTAAATACAACTTAATCACTGATTTGTAGTCGTGTCCTCTTTTGGAAGACCAAACAAAGTAGTTGTGCTTTCACAACGAAAAACACGGTGGCCTAGCGTGAGCGAAAGCCGTGGCTTAGCGTGAGCTGAGGCCGGGCTAGAGTGAGCAGAGGCGGCGTGGTCGAGAACGGCGCGCCCGGCGGATTCGACGAAGGAGCGGCAACCACATGTGACGACCCCGAACTGGACTCCGCTTCATCCACGGTGAAAGCCGATCCGGCGATCCACAGCACTAAGCTGATGTATTCCCTCAGCGACCAGCACAGATCAGTTCTAGGCATGACGAAGCGGATATCGTCCTCTTTTGGAAGACCAAACAAAGTAGTTTCGCTTTCACAACGAAGCACACAGCGTCTTCACGACATGGCGGCAGCAATACTACAGCGAGAATAAAAGTTACACCTTCTTTATTTTTGCGTGAACATTTGGGCGGCGTTATGCAAATCTTCACACATAGTGAGGTAGATAAGTGAGGACGTGTTAGAACGAGCCGTTTTAGGTAGGCGTGGTTAACTCTTAACTTTTATAAAGAATATCTCTTTGGATTTGAGACTTTAGTCTTTGCAACTTTACAGATCTCCTTTATGCACCAAGAGCTTGTAACACTCCAAAGAGAAAGGAAAAATTGAAATCGCATCATATGACCCCTTTAATCTATGTAAAACATATTTGTTAAACATTTTTGGTCATGATTTTTATTTTTTTTTATTTCTTCCCCCATTAAAAAAAAACAGCTTTTTTAACAACGGCACCTAGGGCTGTGCGATATTGAAGAAAAATGCGATATGCGATACGATAAGTGCCACATGCTCAGATGAAACAGTTTTACTCAACTGTTGCTGAGTCAGTTCTGTGAACTTGTATGACACAAGATAGTTATAGATGGTAATTTGTATGTACCAAGAGTTCCTGTAAAACCACAACAAATTCCTTGTGTTTGCGCACACTTAAGTGGTGAATAAAGCTCATTCTGATTCTAATAAGAAAGCACCCCTACAACAACTTCTGAAAGTGAACGGTTTGTTTTTTACTCGAGCATTACATAAAAATTTAATTTTAATATGAGTTTAGGAACTGAATAATAAAAAGGAATAATAAAACACTGCTTAGTATTTACTCTTTGAATTCAATATGCACTGATTCTTATTTAAGCTACAAAAGTTATTTAGGTAAGAGCAGTGAGTGATTTTCTCTTTGTCTTTTGTTCATGGCCCCAAATATTGCAAGCTGTAGCGATATGCATATTGCGATATGTACATTTGCGATATTTCGTTAATTTCGATATATTGCACAGCCCTACTGTGCACCTTCTATATATAAATATTGCCCTCCTCAGCTCGTAGAAAAGCTGTTTGTGATGAGCTTTGGTTCATCATGTGACTTTCTCATCACCACCAGATTTTGGTGGTTATCAGTGCATTACAATGGATCAAAACAGATATTAGTACTTCAATATGTTGGTTTATTAACATTACATCAGTTAATGAAATACGGTATTTTATTGTGAATTTAAGTTAAGTCTGTAAAACCTAAAATGTTGCTACCATATTTTTTACGGTGAAGTTCTGGCAACCACAGCTGCTGGTATTTTACCGTAAAAGTCACAGATTTTTTTTTACAGTGTACTTCTTGTGAGATTCTAAAGTGTGCATCCAATGTACTCATTACTATCCCATGAGGGGCCACAGGAGAGGAGTTGTGAGTGTAAGTGAAGCGACGTAAGTGACACCTTCATACCATGTGGAACAAAGTTTGCAAAGTAGGTACTTATTCAAAACAAGAAACCTCAGAGAACATGCAAGTTTGGATGCAGTCAATGCTGATAAACTAACCAACATAACAGGAACGGATCACCCAAAAAAGGAAAATTCTTGCATTTATTTACTCAGCAAACCTGCATGCCTTGTTCTTTTCCATATAAGCAAAAAAGTACAATGACGTATATGTTCAACCCCCAAGAGGACGTAAAGAACCATAAACGTGTCTTAACGAGCGTCCAGGAGGTTAGCAAAACGAAGCAAAACGTTTTTTTAATGGATGTCAAAGGAGAAGAGGCTTCACGCTGTATAAACCGCTTTTGTGAGGAAACAACTTATCACAATGAACTGACAACATGTTGGCTAATCTTCAACATGTTTGCCATTAAACATTCATTTCGGATTCATCTATATTTGAGGTTTACACTGAACAAAAAAAAAATTGTTTTATAAGAGAAATCAATGACAATTTTGCGTCAGGCAGGAAGGATTCAGTGTACGGCATGTCTCATTCATTTCTATGGTATAAACAAACGGCGATCAACTGACATACAACTCTGCCGGCAATTCAATGACTTCAAAGGCTATTATGTGACTGGTTATCAAGGCACATCTGATCCAAGTTGACAGTTGCTCTTTCTCCAATGGTAGAGCTGCAGAGATTGGAATCTCCACAAAATAAGAAGAGCATGACATTTTAAAATGAAGTCTGCTTCATTTTAAGGCAGCTCCAAGGCCAATTGTTTATTTAACAACCACCTACTATAACTACTCTACTAAACATCTTTCTTGCTCCTGGAAGGAAATGAAGTCATAAGTGTCTGAAATAACATGGGGATGAGTAAGTGACATGTTTTTACATATTTGTGTGAATTACAGTATTGTATTTACTATACTTAAGTACAGTATAGTTTTAAAATCTAGATCTTCAATCAAAATGATTCTTCTAAACTGTGCCGTACTATTAACATTCCTATTGATTTATTCTAAGAAATTTTACTAAACAGTTAATGTAGCTAATCTTCAATACCTGGACCATTATGTCTCCTCCCATTCAATCCTATCAGAATGAGAGCTGAGATTTTTTAATGGTGTTTCTGTTAATGTCTACTGTGGTATCAAATATCAAACATTTCATCCTTGTACCTTTTTTCTCTCCGGTGAAGGTGACGAAATCATCTCTGTCTTTATAGTCCATAGCCTCCTTCTCCAGATACTGTAGCAGTTTATCGCGGTTAAAAGGACCGGTGGCTCCTTTTGTGGTCTGGTCCTTCTGCCTGAGTCCGGCTGGCAGCAAAGCATTCTGGAAAAAGGATTCAGAACAGATGTGGTACCAGTTATACTATTAAACTTTTATATCTTATCATTTCATGCCAAGTTACACCCGATTAATTGCTTACTTTTTAAGTAAATAAGAACTATTATTTGCATTTGCTTGGTAAGATCTGAACCTGAATACTGCATGGCAAAATTGTGTTGTTTACTACATTTTTGTTTAATAGGAAAAATTGCTGAGATATGTTTGCTTAAGAGGAAGCTCTTGTGTTTGGAAGCAAACTTGAGCCCTGTTTACTCATAAACAAACAGAGACAGAGTTGTTTATGAGAGGTCATAACAGAAACTCAAGGCAGATTTAGAAATGGCCATTTTCAACAGTTTGATAAACAAGTGAATTTACTTTATAGTTGTAGTTCAAAATTACATATGACCACACCCATTATCACAATGACAACATTGTGAATTACATCATCACTTATGAGTGGAATTACCAGGAAAAAAGGTGATAGTTTCTGGTTTTTCAAAGTCTTTTTTTGCACTGCGTACAACTTATTATTAATTACAAATTATTAAATTTTCATCTTTAGGACTGATTCTCCACACTTTTAATTTGCATTTGCTTAAAGGTACAGTTGACCCAAAAATGTAAAGTCTTAGCCTGTCCACACAATGTCAACGGTCCCCAAAACTGGTTACCAACATTCTTAAAAATATTTTCTTTTATGTTTCACAGAACAAAGAAAGTCATACAGAATTTTCATTTTTGGGTGAACAAACGCAGTGTGATCTTGTGTATCTCCATCAGCTGCTATATGATGCAGACATCATAAAAAAGCAAAGAGACATTCATGAGTTTACAATTGCTAATTTGAAAGTGTGACGAAAGGTGCCTGTGTGTCTCACCTCGGGGTCGATCTCCTCTAGAGCACTCTCCAGTTGCTTGAGTTCCTCCTCTGACAGCTTGTTCAGAATCTCATCCTCATCGATCTCCTTATACTTCTCCAGATCTTTCTTAAACGGAAGAGCCATGATTCACACTGTCCGTCAGAGAGAGAGACCGCAGACCAGTTTGATTAAATGCCTGCACACAGAAAAATTCATTGTCTGAGGTAAATGGATAATTCTGGTCAAAAATACATACACTAATGTGATGCATATATGAAGCTTGTCAGTAACGAACTTCAGTACTTGCGTTACAAAATAGCGAAAAAATATGTTGACAGATTTTAGAATGCAATGATGTAGGGCTGCCACTAATTACTATTTTATTTCGATTAATCTATCGACTAATTTATCGATTAATCTAAACCAGTGGTCTCAAACTCAATTCCTGGAGGGCCACAGCTCTGTAGAGTTTAGCTCCAACCAGCTCCAAAACACACCTGCTTAGAAGTTTCTAGTGATCCTGAAGACCATGATTAGCTGGATCAGGTGTGTTTGATTAGGGTTGGAGCAAAACTGTGCAGAGCTGTGGCCCTCCAGGAATTGAGTTTGAGACCAATGATCTAAACTATTAATTTCCCACCAAAAAAAATCAACAATTTTACTTAAGAATATTTTATTAAACTATATTTCATTAAACCAAAATGAAATACAAAAGTAAAAACGTAAAGTGTAACAAAGTGCAAGAAGCAAGTATCCATCTCATAGTCCAAATCACTGAAATCAAAGTTCAGTATTAAAGTGTAAGAATGACAACATATCCACGTGTTCTAGTCTACTAATAATAACATAATCAAAAAACACTTTTTAAAAGGAGTATTTACTAGAAATATTATTTACCAGAATTTATTTTGGAGAAAAATGTAAATGTGCAGTATTTCTGAAAAAAAAAAAAACTTTTTTTAATAAAATCAATTAATTGGAGATGCTTTTGATTATTCAAATTTAATGGAACCATTAAAATGGAATCCATAAAATAACAGAAAACAGAATTTGGTAAAGATAAAACTGTAAAACTCAATTAATTAGACAGGCTTTTTGATTAATACAATTTTATTTAAACATTAAAACAGAGTATAGTCAAATGAAAATGAAAAAACTGAATTTGGAAATAAAACAGATTTCATAGTGTCCTATAATTATAATATTTTTTTTTGTGGTAACAAAAATAGATGTAAGTGAACAATAGCCTTTAAAATTACTTAAAATACATATATAATAGCAATGAGGCAATAATAATTAGTTCAAATAAAGTATCAAAAGGAAGAAATCATATGGTTTTATTGAACAAAATTGTTAAAATACATAATGTATTATAAACAACAGAGCTAATGTACATTACGCATTACAACAAAGGCCTGCAGGGGGCACCAACGACCTGACGATTATTTTTACACATTACTGTGCGATCTAATCCTTGTTTAATATTGACCAAGCATCATATCATTCAAATGTTCACTTAATCTTTAGTATTTGGCCATTTCTTTAGGACAGAAATGCTATAGCCACTGTAATTAAATGAATACGTGGACATCAAAACGTGTAAACTCAGAGTGAGGGTTTGAGCTTTTATTTTGAAACCGCGATGTATTCTCCTGTGTTTGCATAGATTTATAAATGATTTACCTTACAAATCTGATGAAATGGCGCATGTTGCGTTCCCAGATGGACGTTATAATAAACCCAAACTCACAACAACATGCAGAGATGGAGTTTGAGACGCTCCACACTAGGGCTGTCAAAATGGCTGAAAAACTAAATTCGAATTTTGTACTTAAATATGATCAAAATTCTAATTATATTCTCATTTAAAATGCATAATTTCAGTTAGGGTGAAGAAAAGCTTTTGGCATCTCTCCTGAGGCCACAAGAGGGCGCATCATTCAAAGCATAAGATAACATGACTATCTGCGAAAAAATATAATGTTTATAAACCAATTATAATTAAGTTGCTTAAACAACTATAAACAAAACAGCATCATGTATGTATGCATAGTTTAATACAAAAGGCGGAAAGCCAATCACACAGAGTACATTTTTCATTTAAAAACATGAAATGCAGTGGGATGGGGAAAAAACCCGCCATAAATTCTCGATATATGTTTTTTCAAAGTTAAACTTGCATTCATTTTACATGGCTTTCTAAACATGCAGGTCTTTTGTGCGAGACGCGAGTGCAACAGTAATAGATGTCCGTCTAGAAAATGCGTGAAATATGCATTGTGTGTGAACGGCTTGTTTTGGTTTTGATGTAAACAAGATCTTCTCCGCTTTGATATTCTCTTTTTCCGCTATATTTTTAATGAACAACGCAGCAGCGCCGCATCTAGTGGCTTCAACTGGATAGGCTAACAAAAACATTATAATGTAACGACACTTACATCGTCATCGCATCTTGTGCGCCGCTGATAAGGCTGCCTCCTTAACGCACACCTAAAATTCGAATGCAACGTTTTTGCATATACTGTATAAGAACTGCATCGCATGTAATTATTTAATTAAATCGTAGCGTTTGTGAATTCACAATTATGCTTAATTATGGGTTTTAAATGGGTTTAATATATCATGCAGCCTTGGAAAACAGACTAATAATGTGTTTTATACATTCTCGTCTGTGAAATGTGCCACTTCCGGTATTTTGCCGGTTAGTCGACACAAGCAAAATGAAGTTGAGGATTTTTAAAAATCGAATAGTCGAATAAAAATCGACGAATCGAGTCAGCCCTACAATGATGTAAAACCTATAATACACTATATTACTGATTCACAGATTAAATTAGCAATTTAATAAAAATTAAAGAATGTCCTGCCTTTAGAATAAAGGCATGTTCACATCAACAAATTGTCAAAAAAAAAAGTCAACTGCAAAAATAACATTTTACCATATTATATATACTACTATATTAGTATATAAAATAACAATTTTAGCAATGAGTTCCAGTAGCTTTAAATACCCCTAGTTATAACTATTAATATCCTCTCCTGCAACACTTATTCTAAATTTATTTTGCTTTTTTTTTAATGTGCTTAATTTTCTCCCAATTTCCATACACTGCACTGTAATGGAAGTTGCAGTGGCCACTGAAGACACACTACAGTTTCTTTTTCACTGACTTCAATTCATACAGATTCTAAGGCGGAAGAAAATACTTTAAATACTTTACTTTTTAATTTTTTTTATGTGCTTTAGAAAAAAACATTACTGGTGTGTATCTTGATACAAATCAATCGCACTGACATATTTTAAGATATGTCAGTGCAAGTTGCTTCCAGTTAAGACAGCTAAAACATACATTTTAGTCTGGGAATATAGGCTTAAACTGGGCATAAATCTGCAGGATAGTAGTAAAGCAGAGTAGAGTTTTTTGACTTTGCAGAGTTTGCTGTATTATCACGACAGTGTCCATAATTTTTCGATCTCAGAAAGTCTAGTGTGGCCACAGCATGAGGCTAAATGTGGACATGATCATGCATACAGTCTATTTGTCTACTCAGACCAATGTATTAAAAAAAACATTAAATAAAAAAATAAACGACAGATGGGCTGAATTAAAATGCAAATTCATTCTATATCTTGTAATAGCAAGTTCAAACACTTACATAACTAACGTTACAAACATTTTTCCACTAATCAATGTAAGAGAGAGACAACTGAACAGATCCTACATGTCCTCTGTTTGATATTGGACAGATGTTCCCATCTCATGATCTTTAACCTCAGACTGGAATTTAATTTTGCAACATCTCATTCCCATCTGGAAACACCTTGACCTTTGAACTTCACTCCCCTGCAGGTTTGCACCAACCCCAAATTCCTCAGCTACTTCATCAAGCTGCAGTGTTTCAAGCTGCAAGTTTACCGCATATCACTTCAGGAGATGAGCAAAACTACATATTTTTTTTAATCTGGTGCGTTGTCTGAAGGACTAGCTGACTAGCAAGTCTGTGTTTACTATAATAACACTGGTTGGGTCAGGTCCATCACACACAGATTAGACACGTACTCAGAAACACCTAGACAGAACACAAGGAGTCTTGATTTTTGCTTTGCAAATTGTGACTTTAAGGTTGTGGTTTTATACAGGGAAGCCTAAATCAAGCCCTGCCAGCTCAAGTCAGCAATCAGACTCATAAAACGCAAGGAAATTCCAGCAGCCAAATATACTCCAGGAAAAGCTGATGTCATTTATTTGCCAATTCATGAACAAACTGTCATTTCTGGCCCACAACTAGGTGACCGAAAATAGTGCATACTAAAGAATAATTAGATGTTGCCAAAGTACGTAATGACAATCCCTGGGAAATCCCACAGCACAAGATTATAGTTTATTCACAGCACCTGCAATTAAAGTATTTCTTTGTTATGATTACAGCTCATTTACTTGAGCTATTGTGACTGACTAATCACACTAAACAGAGCAGTCAATGTTTAAGAGTTTATAGTAAATGTGAAGGTGAAGAAAAGCACTAAATTGGACTGTTGCATGAGAATAAAATACTGCATTGCTGTTGGAGGGAGTTCTTTTGCACTGGCACTTGTGCCAAAGCGGAGAATGAAATCAAGCTGCGTGCCGATCCATCAGCGAAATAGCAGTGTTTTTCATGAAGTTTTAAATGCAGTGCTCTGAACGTTAAGCCAAACTCAATAACAAATCACAGCCAGATTTATGTTCAACTCAGCCTAACTTATGAGTACTTAATGGCTAAGTAAATTAGACTTTGTCTAAGACTAAGACAATCCGTGGTAAATCCTGTAAAATGCCTTTGGGTTTCTCAGCAGGATTGGCGTCAGCTTAACTCTCAGTCTTAAGGTGAAGTGTGTGAGACCCTCATGGGGTAAAGATCCATAATGTTCCCATTAACTTCCAATTTAACGAGGTCAAAGCTGTGTTGAGGAAGTTATGCACTAGCAGCAGATTTGAAGGATTCCCTCCCTACTCACAATATTTGTTGCTGCAGAGGACAAAGGAAAAGTTGACCCAGGAGAAAACAGGGTCTTAAGTGGCTTAAGGGTTAAATGGTGCTAAAACTAGAACAAATTCAGTAGCTCTTTTGATCCTGGGCTGCCTCTTAGATCAAACCTTCAACCAGCCAAGATCCTTAACCACAAGCCTCTTTCCATTTCCTGAACACGCCCCA